CTCTGCAACCCCCTGACAGGAGGGGGGAGCCGGGGGGAGTCGGGCTCTGCTGCCACATCCCAACTGAAAGGACAAGAACAAATGGCCTCAAACTGCACCAGGGCAGGTTCAGATCAGAGATCAAAAGCAATTTTTCCCTTCAGGAGTGGTCAGGCCTTGGAATTAGTGTCCCAGGGAGGTGGTGGAGTCCCTGTGTCTGGGAGTGTCCCAGAGGTGTCTGGATGTGGCCCTTGGGGACATGGATTGGGGGTGATCCTGGTGGTGCTGGGTGAGGGTGGCTCTGGATGATCCTGAAGGGATTTCCAGCCTTGATGATTCTGTGTTTCTGTGCCCTGCTCTGCCATCTGAGGGGAGCAGTTAAAAAGAACCCCTTTCTGCCTTTGTCTGAATATTTTGCTCAATTTGTTGCTTGGAGTTCATTTGCTGAACTCCTCTTCCCTGTCCCATAACTGTCCTGCTGTGTCCCTGCAGCTGCCAGCACCACAAGGGTGACACTCTGCCCATCCCTATTTTAAAGGGCAAGTTCCCCTTTCTAATGAAGACTTAATTCAAAATGACTTGACAGATATTTGGGATTTAAAAGCATTCTGGGAGGGCAGTGATGTTCCCACTGAGTCAGCCTGGACACTCAGAATAAAACTCGTGTACTGAGAATAAATACTTGAGTGGCAGCTCATTTTGCAGGCTCCTGGGGCTGGGAAGCTCATACCTCTTTCCTGAGTCAGGAAAATCCTTCTAAGCACATTTCCTGGTAAAAAATAATCAAAGCACTACCAGCAAAAATGAGGATACTGTAGTTCTTACCCAAGAAATAAATGTTACCTTAGGAGAAGGAGTTGTTTGTTTATAAGGCAAGTGGTGCCAATGTCCCCTTCTGCTGGTTTTAGGTGGGTTTTTGCTGGTTTTTTAGGAAAAAAATCTACTGCCATTAAAATTTCTTATATTTCACTGGCAAAAATGCCAAAGAGACTGAGGCTGTTTACATTTTAAATTAATAATAATTATAAATTGGTTAATTTAGAAAGTAGATAACAGACACTCCCTTATTGCACGTGTTACTTGGCTGAGTGACAGACAGGGTTAATCTGAACTGCAAATAAGGGATTATAAATCCCTTTTAAATAAGGGATATTTAGCTAAACTGCATTATCCAGTTTAATCTCTCTGTTCCAGCCAGCACACAAAATATAACTTCTAGAGCCTTAAGCCAATAAAACTTTAACTTCCTTAGGAAATGGATTTAGCAATGCAACTCTTATTTAAAAGTATCAAACTAACACATAACAAGAATTTTTGGCCTTTTCTGCT